GAGGATTGGTGTGACGCGATCCAGCAGGCGTGGTTTCTGACGGCCGGACGTCAGTGCACGGAGTTGCCCCTTCTCCGACTGCCCCGGCTAGTTCACGAGTTTCGCGGGAGTGACCCCATGCGTCAAACCCGAGACCTAGCGCGGGTGGGTTGGGGGGGGGCTCGCTGCAAGGAAGGGCTGCGTAAGAAGCCGATCCCCGTAGTCCGCCCCGCTCCTCCCCATCGGGCCGCATGAGCGGCCGCGCCTCGCAGATTCGTTTCTCGCGCCTGGGTCAGGCGCGCGGGGCATCCCCCGGGTCGCTCGACCAGCGATCCGAAGAGTGGCCGCTATGCGAAGGGAAGAGTGGGGCTGTGATTGACGCTATTATTGCCGTCGAGGATGCTGAGGCACGCGAAGAGGGAATGCTATACGCCGCGGAAGCTGCTGCGGTAGCGGCTGCCGAGCACGACTTATTTTGATAGTAATTAATTCCTTACCTTCGGTGCGTATCGGTGTGTGTATTCTGTCGCAAAGGACACCGCGTAACCTGTGTACGTTTTGGAGGCGCTCGCCGCGTGCGGCGATTGAGCGCCTCCCTCTCTCTCCGGCTGCGCGCCTGACCGGTGGGTGGCCTCCGAGTCGGCGTCTAGCGCGCGTGATAAGGTTTTTGCTCGCCTTCCCTGGGACGCTGGGACCCCGTGTTGCGTGACTGTCTCTGTGCGATTTCGGGCCCGGGGTGGTGCGTTTATGTGTACGTTATACCCTGGTATACACCGCTACGTCAGTACACTGAGACCAGTACGTTATACACACGCCCGCGGCCCGCGGGCCCCGCGCGCGTCCGGGGTACACGGATCGTCGTGTGCGCGAGAGAGATTTCAGTGCTCCTCGTCGAGTGTGTACATGTTGTAGTGGCTGAGCCGATCGGACCGGCTCGAGGCGTCACTTCCTGCTTATTATATGTTGATTGTTGTGGAAAAGCGTAAATGACCGAGACCCTGTTAGCCTCCACCGACCGTCCGCCACAGGATCCATCGCCAGCCCGCGAGCACGCTCAGCGACCCCGTGAGGAAGCCGAGCTCTGCAACATCCAGCGGGCCAGGGCCGATCCCGGCGCTGGAGAGGAGGAGCAGTCCACCCTCCGCGAGCGCGACCGCTCCTGCCCACGTGGCGATACAGGCGGTGCCGGCCTGCGCCGCGTCGCCTCGCGTGAGCGACGGGTCGTACAGGCGCAGAAGGAGCGCGGCGGCGACCCAGGTGAGAGCGAGTGCGGCGCCCTGAGCGGCCGAGCCCGGCAGCCGCTCCGTAGAGGTGAAGAGCTCCGGCTCGGCATCGGCGAGGGGAGAGAGGATCGCGTCGACCACTCCCTGGACAGCCCCATAAATCATGCTTACAAACGCGTCGCCAAGTAGCGCCTGCTGGTCGAGCGACTGCTGATCCCGGCATAGCACCGAGCTTCGCGCGACGGGCGGTGGCGGCCGTGCAACCAGTGGCGGGCGAATCAGCATTGGAGATGGACACGCAACAACGCAGTCTTCCGGCGCGCCGGAAGAAGAATGGGTGCGGCCGCCAGCAGGACTGAGAGTGACGCGACAGGAAGAATTTTACCTGCAACAGTGTTGTGCGAGAGGAAGAATTTTCGAAGGTCGCAAGACACGATTCACGCGACAGGCGAGGCGCGGGCGACGGCTTCCAGAAGCCGTCGCCCGCACCACAGGAGCAGTCACACCACCACAAGCAAACGCACGCGCCCCGGAAGAAGAATTTCGCCACTCGAGCACTTGTCTCTTGTGACTTGAGCACTGGATAGGGTCGATTCCGCATGCCGCATGGTACGGGACCCCTCGATCGGCTCCCGTTCCCCTGGGTTGTCTGTTTTCTTTCTTTCTTTCTTTTCCCGTTCCCCTGTGTGCTTGAGCACTTGAGCACTGGATACTCGAGTAGGGTCGATTCCGCATGGTACGGGACCCCTCGATCGTCTCGCCCACCCTCACTGGAGTGTTCATTGGGGGGCTGTGATCGTCCTTACAAGATCCTGCTCGTCGGTCTCTCTTTCGCTACGTGATACGTGTTCGACGTCGTCGAACAACGTTCGACCATGGCACTGTTCACAGCGCGCGCGGACGGCCGTTCTGCGACTCCCGCTCCGCTGGACTTTTGTAAAGCACGCTTGTGGCAAGTTACAGACGCTAGTATCGACCTCAGAGACCCAAACACTAATTAATAATTAAGGCTCAAAACATAGTCGAACAACCGTCGAACAAGCAGGTCGAACAACGAAAAGAGACTAGTGCGACCGCTAGACGGCGGTCTCCGCCGGCCCCAAGGCTGCCCAGTCCCAGTACCACACCGGCCACGTACACCGTGGCGCTGGAGTCGGTCAGTGAGGCACTAGACGGGCTACGGAACCATGCGCGCGCCGGCCGGACAGGCTGCGCGCAGGGGCCGCGCCGCCTCGATTTCGCACCTCCGCTCCGCGGCCGATTCGGCGGAGCGCGAGGAGCGCATGCAGCGCGAACGCGATGATCGCGAGGAGCGCCAGCTCAAGCGGGAGCAGAAGAACGCCGCAAGGAAGGTGGCCCGCGTGCAGACGGCGGCTACCGCCAAGGCGGCCCTGCTCCAGTGGCGCTTCTTGATCAAGCAGGACGACCCGATCGATGAGGACACCTTCGACATTACGCTGCTCGCAAGCTGCCCCCCGGAGCTGCGAGTGGACTCCATCGTCACGGCCGAGGATTGCGGCCGCCTCGAGCCGTACCTGCGCGAATGGTTCGAGATTCCCACCTCTGTCAAGATCGGCCTGCAGGGCAAGGTGCTGTTCAGCGGCAAGCAGGCGCTCTTCTTCCAGGTCCGCGACCAGCCCACGCTGTCCACCGCGCGCTTTCAGATCGAGCGGCTGGGCCAGCTGCTTGTGGACGAGACGGAGGTCACGGTCGAGGTCGAGATCTGCGCTGTGGACGTGGGCAAGAAGCTCAAGGCCAAGTCCAAGCCGCGCACGCGCAAGCAGGAGGCCTCCCTCCACCACCGAGCTCGACGAGCTGAAAGGCTCCATCTACGGCGTGACGGCCTCGACGCGCAGCTACGTGACCGGCTCGTGGAAGCCCGCCTCGAGCGACATCATGCGGTCG